CGTCTGATTGCTTACTTTTGTGTTCAAACATCATCTGGATCTACACTGTGTACATTGCCAGATTATTATGTTTTTGAGGTTCATGTACAAGTGTTGACCTTCCTGTGAGATGAAATATGGAAGTACATTATGCTACCAAAGAAACGTGTCTTCAACCTATTTGGATAGTCTGAGATGATGTTAGATCAATTTTGTCAATCTTTGGGAAGAGCGTACCAACTGATAATTCAGAATCAAATTTTGTTTATTTTTTCAGTAAAGATTCTTGTGCTTTTAGAAACAAATGTCTTGCATGCTCTCTTCGTCCATCTCAAAAAGTAGAATTTGTTAACTGCTTTGAGCTTAACAATGTTCAATAGCCAAGTAAACTTTTGAATGATGATTAACTTCTTTCCCTATACTGACTATATCGTCCATATGCTATTTTGATGAAGGGGTGTTTGGTTTCTGGGAACCACACTTGTTGTTTGGATTTTGGAAAGGGCTATTCTGTATTTAACCCTCCATGGTAATTTACTGTGCTCTTTTATGACTTATTTCCGATCATGTTTACCGTAGTGGGCAGGTGAAATCTGAACAGGAGTGTATATTAGCTCAGGCAAGGCAGCACATAGCTATGCAGGTTGAATACTTTCTACTGTATTAACTTATTATTCTAAATACTCCCTTTGTCCCAAAAGTTTCGACATTTTTCACTTCCTGAGTTTTGAGCTAAGTGAACTTTGACTAACATTTTAGAATAATGTTCATGTGCAGTTTGATATGTGCGAATTGCAATTTGTAGTACTTTTTGTGAAACTTCTAATGTCTAATTTTAATTCAATATAATAAATAAAATTGATCTGATCTAACTCCTAAAATTGGTCAAATTGACCTCAATAAGCAAAAGGTGACTGGGATGCAGTGTGCATTTTCCCTTAATTTTGAATGCTGAAGATTACGTTGCTTGCTTGCAGAAAATGGCTTTTGAAGCTAGTGGTATGACTATTCCTGGTACCGAGATAGGGCCTGTTGTGACTGCTGAAATTCCAACCAAGGTCTTATGCTTAACTGAGGTATTTGTTAGTCTGGGAAAGGTTATAGAACTTATATTTAAAGACAATGGTAAAATATTGTAGTAATGCTAATGAGTTATCTTCCTCTGAATATTTGAAGGTGATCACCCCTCAAGAATTATTTGACGATGTAGAGTATGGAGAAATTTTGGAAGACATGAAAGAAGAAGGCCAAAAATTTGGTAACTGCAGCTTCTCATTCATTAACATATCTTTTGTTATCTCTTTTTTGTTTTATGATATGTTCTTTATGTTTCAATCTGTTTCCCATGTTCACATTGAAATTGTTTCTATTCAAAAAAAGATGATTGAACATGAGACACTTTTAAATTGATTTATTATGAGGCCGCTTTAAATAACCGCAGTAGTACCAGGGAGGGTTATCTTCTCTTTGATAACTCATAAAAACGACCAAAAGTTCTAGTATGATGGTTGATTTCTCACCTCCATAATTGGATGAACCAATGATTTAAGACTTAAATGAAGAAGAGATTAAGGGAAAAAAGGTAACTGGATTTATAATAGTTTTTGGTTCTATGGGAAAAACATTTTTGAATAGATGATAAAAGATTGGGTACCTTTGTAGGACAATATTCTTCAACTGTTCGTGCTTGAACTTTCAGCCACGAATTTTGTCTTGCAAGCTGCTCTATAATGTCTATTTCACTCACAGGACTACCCACTGTTTTTTCCCTCATAAGTCTCTGCTACTTACATAACATGGGCCTTTGACGTGTTCCCCCATTTATGTGGATTCTTATCTTTCAATTTGTTAAAATTTCCTAATATATTGTGCATCCTTTTTTGTTTTGGGTTTTCCTTTTATGTGTGCTACTTGATCTGTACAATTAAGTATTTGATAAGTCAGTATTGGATTTCCTTTGGCTGAATTATAGGTGACTTGATTGATGTTGTTATTCCTCGGCCAGAACCTGATCAAAAAATGGTGGATGGTTTTGGGAAGGTAATAATGTTTTCATTTTTACGTGTCTAAGCTTTAGGAATTAATTCAATTTTGTTATGCTGAGCATTTGTTGTATCCGTGCTGTGTGTTCTGCAAATACTTTTTATTGTTCAATTGAGCAATGAAACCTGTACAACTTTGCTGCAATAGAAAGCCCATGGTCACTTGTTGGTTGACATTAGTAAAAATAAAGTGCTCTGTTACTAGAAGTTATCGCTTATTTTCCTTTTCTGTTTGATTCTAGATTTTGAGATCATCATAGAATTTCCAGTTTAGGCAATTTTTGAATGAAGAAGTGATGCATAAGCATTTTTAGGTTTTTCTTTCCTCATCTGTCTCTTATATGTTTTAATCCTCAACATTTTGCTGCACAGAGAATTGAAACGACATTATTTAATCCTCATTAAAAATGCACACAAAATGTAGCATGACTATCAAATGATCATTTTGCCAGTAATGTACATCTTGATAGTTCCCCCTGCATGGGTGTTATATATAGCCATAAATCAATAGTCAGGATAATACGCAACAATTATAGGAGTCTTTTTCGATCTTGAATCCCCTCTCCGTTCAGATGGTTTTGTGTTTCAAACTGCAGGTATTTCTCGAGTACTCTGACACTATCGGTTGCACTAAAGCAAAGGCAGCACTTGGTGGAAGGAAATTTGGAGGGAATACTGCTGTTGCCATTTTTTATCCTGAAGACAAATACTACAAGAAGGATTATGCCTCTTAAGTTTCTGAATATCTTCCATGTTTATATAGTCTTGTATAGTTTTAGTGCTTGTAATCGTCCATTTAGCTACGTTCAAGGCTGTTTGATAATTTTTTCTTCTATCACAATTGAAACGCTAACCTACCCATGGTGGGTGGTTTGGGCTCTTTGATATAGTCTCTCTATTAGGAGAAGTTTTTCATGTTTCAAACTACTGTAATGACCAGATTTTAGATGGTACCAGATTTAATATCAATATAATTCTCAATACTACTAACATATAAGCCTTGCTACTAGTTGATACCAACTTATAGATTTCTTCATGTGATTTTAAATCTATCTGATTTTAGCATATTCAATTATCATATAACTCACCTATAGATTGGTGCATGTAGATGTTTAATATGACATAATCATATCGCCTTTTTAGACACTTTAATCTAATTTTTATTCTCTTTTGGGTTACTTATACCTTATGTTGGATACAATCAATTCTAGTACTACTAATATTTTTCAATTTTATTCGATTACACATTTATCTAAACATTCACATTTCAATGATAAGTCATTTATTAGTTAGTTGAGGTTTAAATGTGTCAATATTCATTTCAATCTAAGTACTAATGTTAACATAACACGAAGAGCAAGAGAGTGAATGAATATCAGATCTCTTTCTCATTTTCTATTTAAGACAACATAAAAGTTAAAACTACAAAAAGAAAAATAAAATAAAATTAAAGTATAGATTCAAGAACGTGAAGAAATGCCAAAAGGGAATATAATAGTCAAGTTTTATCCAAAAAGTATGATTTGCTGATTAGGATTTGTGTCACTGTCAATTCATGTTTTTATAGATAAATTTTGACCTATTCTCCAATTTCCCAACTCCCAAGAATTAAATTTATTCTTTGTCGTGGATAATCAATTTTAATCCAAGAATTGTTGGAAATAGAGTGTTCATGGTTTGGATAAAAATTGATTGAAATTGAGAAATCGAATTCAATTTTATTTGAGTTTGGTTTGGTTCTAGATTTTAAAAAATCGATTGTATTTGGTTTGATTATAATTTTGTTCAACAAAATCGAAGAAATAATCGAACCAATCCACCAAATAAAGAAAAAGGAAAGTAAGTCACATAAATTGGGATAAAGGGAGTAACTAATTTTATTATGTAAAATAATTAATTAATTAATATTGTTTGTCATGTGTAGGGGTGTTCACGGTTTGGATAAAAACAGATCCAAACTGAAAAATCGAACCAAATCGATTAGATTAATCGATTTTATTTGAGCTTGGTTTGCTTTGATTTTAGATTTTTAAAAACCGATAGTATTTGAGTTGATTATGATTTTGTTTGAAAAAAACCAAAGAAATAACCGAATCAAATCGACAAATGATATAGATATATTTTATTATTATATATACATAATATATTATTTTTTAAAACAATTTTAAAGATCTTAATATGTTTTCATCAAAATTTATTTATACTTTAGTTGTAAAAGCAAAAATGTCCAAGGTGAGAATATTTATCTTATCGGTTTCATGCATATGAGTGTCTATGACAATTCTTTGTGGGATTGAAAATGTCACCGTCTCTTCCTTCTAGAACAAAATAGTAAATTCAGTGATCAAAAGTTCTGTTATGACATTCATTCTAACCATTGTTCGTTTTGAATGGATTGATGTCATTTTTTCATGTTTTGAATGAATTGTTTCTTTTATTTTTGTATATAGTTAATAACCGAATCAAACCGAAACCGATAACAACCAAGTTGATAAATGTATATTATATTTGATTTGGTTTGATTTTAATAATTTTAAAACTGATTAAGTTTGTTTGGTTCTGATTTTGACCAATAATTAACCCAAACCAATCTGCCCCCCTAGTTGGGAACTAAAATCCCCAAACACAACTAATGGTCTAACTCTTGTCCATTTCATAAGATTAACATACTCTTTATATATATATATCATATCAACCTCAAGTTTAAAGTGAAAAATAAAATATTTTTTAATCCAAGAAATCTTTATGCACTAAAATTCCTGAAAAATAACCAATGGCCTCACTTGTCCATTTGATTAGATTAACACAACACTCCATGTCACCCACCTCAAGTTAAAAGAGGGGGAAAATGATTTTTTTTTATTTCTATGGCCCCACTAAAATCCTCAAAAACAATCAATGGCCCCACTTGCCCATTTTTATAAAATTAACTTAACTTTCTCTCCATCTCAAGATTATTAATGGATAATGTTGACACTTTTTGTCTCCTCCAACCCTCTTAGCTATAAATACTCATCAAATCACATATCATCTCTTATATTTTTTAACAAAGTTTATCACCTTGTTTGTGCTTTCTCACTACCCCAATTTACTTTTTCATTGATTTTGTTTGAGAAGAAAGAAAATGTTGGCAATTTTCAAGAAAAGTGTGGTTGATCCACCAAAGGAGCTGCAGAGCCCAGCCTCTTTGCAATCATCAAACAAGGCTGTTTCCCCTGAAGAGACTATGAAGGATTTCTTAGCTTCAAATTCCAACAATGGGTTTTCCATTGGATTCATGGACAAGGCATTCTTGGCCTATTCCAAACCTCCATCCTCATCAAATGCTCAACAAAGGTGAATCTTTTAAACCCCCCACCAAAAGAAGAAAGAAAGAAAGAACCCATGCCTCTGCTATCTTGAGATTTGGCAATATTATTTATGAAATGATCATAAAGATTCAATTTTTCACTAGTAAATGAACAAAAAGATAAAGTGGGATGCTAAATGTTAATGATTATTTCTTGAATTCTGCATTATTATTTTTTGTCATTTTGCTGCTTCTTTTGTGTGGTAATAATGAGACAAATGTATGAACTTTTTTCTCTTTTCCAGGTTGTTCTGTGGGTTGAATGGCATATACTGCATTTTCTTGGGAAGCTTGAACAACTTATGGGCACTAAACAAGCAGTATGGTCTGTCAAAGGGTACCAATGAGGCCATGCTTGTGAGTGAAGCATATCGCACCCTCCGTGACAGAGGCCCATTCCCAGCTCATGAGGTCCTCAAGGGACTTGAGGGTAGCTTTGGCTTTGTGATCTATGATCATAAGGCTGGTAATGTCTTTGTTGCCCTTGTAAGTTCTTTTCTAGTTCTAAAGTTTATCCTCATCAATATGCAATTTTTAATAATGGTAGTTTTCGAGCCCGTTAGTGCTGAGCACCTCAACTATTCATTAGGTACATGCTACCTCCTACCAAACTACGGTTTAGGCAGATAGAAGGAAATGACTTTGGCAGATTTTAACTCTTTCTTGCAGTTACAATCACCAAAAGAAAGTGCATTTTCTCTACAAATGTATATAAACAACACTTTCTTACTCTAATTGGAGATGGGATGATGGTGATATCAATCTTGAAAGGAAACATATACAATAGATTATTTATTATATTCTATTAAGACATAATTTACTTTTTTTCTCTTTCATTGAATGTCATGAATGGTGTCTATGTATAGGGTGCCGATGAAACTGCAAAGATGTTCTGGGGAATAGCATCTGATGGATCTGTCATGATCTCTGATAGTGTGGATCATATCAAAGGAAGCTGTCTCAAATCATTTGCTCCCTTCCCAAGTGGTATGTAGCTCAAATTGGACCAATGCTTAAAGCAAATTGTCTTTATCTTTTCCAGTTACACTTGACAGGAGGTTGATGGGATACAACTTCTCCTTTTAATGAGAAAACGCATTGAAAAAAAATTGATTTTTGATGAGATGGATATCTTGGCAGGGTGCATGTACCACAGTGAAAGTGGATTGAAGAGCTTTGAGCATCCAAGTTACAAGATGAAAGCAATGCCAAGAGTGGATAGTGAAGGAGCCATGTGTGGAGCTTGCTTCAAAGTTGATGTCTACTCCAAGGTGAATAGCATGCCAAGAGTTGGAAGTTCTGCCAACTGGGCTAATTGGGGCCAGCAGGCTTAGGTTCATTTGGACCTCATTTTAACTAACTACAATATAAAGAAGAAAAGAAAAAAGTACTTTATCTTTGTCTTCATTCCTGTTTCCCTGTTGTATTTCAATAAGCCTCCTGCATCTTCCATAAGGGCCTCAGCTTTGTAAATTTCACATGAGGTTCCAACATGAGAAGATTGTTGAGTTTCCCTTTTTGTTTGTTTGTTTAGTTCCTAAGTGTTGAAAAAGTAACGAGCAATTAGAACAATCTATATAAGTTATTTGTAATGACAATCAAGATGCAATGACCATGTAGCTGTTTTCTTCACAAAATTTGTGCTAAACCCCTTTAAGTTTCTGTAAATATTGAGCCCCATCCCTCAAATAATTTATTTCAACCACTATGAAATTATCCAGAGATAGATGGTTGGCTACTCACTAACATGAGTGAACAATTTGAATTTGAAGCTTACAAAGGAGGATGCACAGAAAGCTGAACAGGTCATCTCATCTATGTCACCAGATGAGTTGGAAAGAATGGTGAGATGGGCAGCAAGGATTCAAACAGGAATACAAGTCCTCAAGATTACCAAAGATTTTGTCATGGCAAATCCTGGCATGAGCTTGGCACTTTTTGTGCCCATTTTAGCTGTCTTCCTTCACCTGTTTGGCTACATCTGAGCTTTTTCTGTTCTTTTATATTTTCTTGGCATGTTAGGAAAATTCATTCATTTTTTCTTATCAGTTAATAAAACTCTATACAAAACAGCACTAAATAGTGCTGGATATATACAATATAGCATTACAAGAAACTCATACTCCTTAACTATTCTTGCTAGGACTTAAAGAGATCTATTTCAGCATCATAAACGATATGCCTTCTACACCAAAAAGTTAAGATGTGATCATGTCTAGATCTCTTTTGATTTGTTACCTTTTGATAGAAATCGGTATCCGAAACCTGCTAGCCTGACTTATCTGGATTAGTGCTGGTAGGCCTACTAAGAGAGTGAAGTGCTCCCTCTTAGAAATTCTCCATTCCTAGTACTGAACTGTTACCAAGTCCTCTCATTCCTAGACACAATGATAGCTACTTGGTAGTCTTTGGGAAGACCCAGTTCAAGATAAAAATGCAAAGAAACCTTTCATATATGTATTTGCAACTGAATGTAGCAGAAATAGATAATTTTTATCTTCTGCATTTTCAAATGTGTATCATTATCTTAAACTAAGATACCTTTTACATCTCAAGTGTGTAATGAAAATCTCACCCTCATTTGACTTAAAGAACTGGTTCAATTATAACTACTGGATAAGGAACCAAGATGGTGTAATATTAATCATGTGCTAGATATACACTTGGGTTTATTCTCATTTGTTGTATAACATTTAGGGTCTGTTTGGAAAGCCACTCGGTAATTGGAATTGGTGTAATTACTAGGGTAGTAATTACCAGCCTAGTAATTACACTAACCTGTTTGGTTGCCACAATGTAATTATACATGTCCTGTTTGGATGCCACAGTGTAATTACACATGTTCTGTTTGGATACACAATTGCAATCATAAAATTATAATAAATTTTAAAAATAAAAATTAATTATATTTAAAATTTATACG